CACTCACTCACTCACTCACTCACTCACTCACTCACTCACTCACTCACTCACTCACTCACTCACTCACTCACTCACTCACTCACTCACTCACTCACTCACTCACTCACTCACTCACTCACTCACTCACTCACTCACTCACTCACTCACTCACTCACTCACTCACTCACTCACTCACTCACTCACTCACTCACTCACTCACTCACTCACTCACTCACTCACTCACTCACTCACTCACTCACTCACTCACTCACACACACACACTCACACACACTCACACGCACACTTTCTCCAGGACTCGGGAGCGTCAGTGTGTTTTTCATACGGTCAGATCAGTGAAGATCACAGCATCAGACACTGCATTTACACCAGCCTGAAAACACATGCATTCTGTCCCTTTATCATCACACACTGTAAAAAGCTTCATATGATCAGTGTCTGTCAAATGTTTGGATTTCTGTCTGTCGCTGTCCTAAAAACCTTTTGATCGAAATGCGGAAGGATTTGTTTCTCAGGGTTTCTGGGGTTTGTGAGTTGCTGCAAGGCTAATAATTAAATCATAAAAATAAATAGGTCATTTTCTAATAAAAATAAAACACTTACCACCTGCATGTCATGTGACCATGAATCGACATCAGAGAGCCGTGAATGTGTTAAATGACTGAAATACTGAATCTCAGGAAGGTTAAGTGACAAGAGGTTTGGTAATCCCTGATGCAGACAAATATGATTTATATCTATAAAGTTATGAGTTTACATTTTTGTTGTAACAGATCATCAAGTGCTCATCATGATCTTCAAACCTTCTGATCTAAAGGCTTCGGCTGAACGAGACACGTTTACATCAAGCGTCATGAAGTCTCACACGTGTTTAAAGCATCCCATAATGCACCTGATGAAATGATGACTGTCCATAGCTGGAATATGGTCCAGAGGCTTTTACACAAATATGATCATTCCTTCATAAATGATAAAGGCAGCCTTATACTTTCATGCATACTGATACATTTATACTGCAGATGAAAAGTGGTGATGATATAAAAACATGTTTTCTAAATTAAAAACCTTTTCTTTGTGATTATATATATATATATATATATATATATATATATATATATATCCTGGAGAATATTTACTTTGTATTAGTGTAACATGTATATATTTATTTATGCAAAATCTTTTTTGACTCAATATCAGAAATAACATTAAGTTTCAGTGTTGTCCGGACGTCCAGTTACGTTATTTCAGAATCCGGTGACTTCACTATTATTCTAACATGTGTATGATTGTAATAATAAGAATGAGCAGATGTATAGACAGTAGGTTCATGATATATTATGTATTAAAATCATCTTCTCTGTAAAATCAGTGTACGGTTTAGTTTCCAGCTGAATAAATCTGGTTGTGTTGGTCTCAGTCTCTGTGTCTGTTAATGACTGAACTGTGAATCTCTTCTGTCACGAGCACAGTCTGATGTTCATTCATGTTTATTTTGTGCTATAATAACTAGTGAAGAAGAAGAGATGATCAGTTCACCTGAGCTACAGCGATCCGTCACGAGTCACGACACATTAAAGAGCCACCAAACGAATTTGGATTCATGTATTGATTATGCACAATCCTCTGCTGTTTCCTACATTATCAATTACTTATGTTGGTGAAAGTATAGTAGATCCAGATCTCATGCATATTTCCTATTGGTTATTAGTTATCAGTTATTGAACCGAACTGAATCAACACTGAACTGATTTCAAATGAATAATGACTGTTCACTATTGTCTTTTTAGAGCTGCTTTACAGCAGAATTGAATTCTGTTTGCATCATTCAATCACTATTTCCTTGTTTATCCCTTTGAAATAATCTGTACTGTATAAAGCGCTATAGACATACAGGTGACTTGACTTGATTAGGCTGAATGGACTGATTGTTCTCAGGTGAAGCTTGATTTTCACTAATGAAGGGGACTGTGTTCATTTGACCTGCAGATTCATTCATGCTCAGGACCTGGATGTCAGAACGTCACACGCAGCAGAACCAGAGACAGCGGAGACTCACCTGTGCGGTGTAGATGTAGAGGGCGGGGCTCCGGATGCTGATGCCATGCCCCAGGCTGAGGGGCGGGGCCTCGTCTGACGCACCTGTCCGTCTCACAGCTGTCGGACAGCAGGAACACGGACACTCCACCGCCGCCCCAGATCTGCAGAAAAACACACGGTACTTTAGTCATTGAAGCAACAGCAGCAGCAGCAGCCAGTCAATTCATCTGCATCTCATGCATTTAGTGGATTATTTTAAACCTGCACTGGCATTTCCATCTGTCACCATTTCAAAAACCAAACTCATAAATCATTGAAACCTACTGTACTATATGAATTCATTTACACTCGTGTTGCTATACCAATACAAATAGATTAATTCATACAATTTAATTTAAACAATTTAATTATTTAATTATTTTTAGCATTTTTTAAATGGAAAAACTCTCTTCTCCACCCCATTCTGATGCACACTGTATATTCATGCATTTATACAGAACGAATTTGAGCAAGATTTGCATTTTGGGAGGGGAGGAAGGAGGAGGAGAGGAGTGAGGAGGTAAGGAGGAGGTGAGGAGGAGAGGAGTGAGGAGGTGAGGGAGGAGAGGAGTGAGGAGGTGAGGGAGGAGAGGAAGAGAGGAGGTGAAGAGGGGAGGAGTGAGGAGGTGAGGAAGGAGGAGGAGAGGAGGTGAGGGAGGAGGAGAGGAAGGAGGAGGTGAGGGAGGAGAGGAGTGAGGAGGTGAGGGAGGAGAGGAGGAGAGGAGGTGAAGAGGAGAGGAGTGAGGAGGTGAGGAAGGAGGAGGAGAGGAGTGAGGAGGTGAGGGAGGAGAGGAGGAGAGGAGGTGAAGAGGAGAGGAGTGAGGAGGTGAGGAAGGAGGAGGAGAGGAGTGAGGAGGTGAGGGAGGAGAGGAGGAGAGGAGGTGAAGAGGAGAGGAGTGAGGAGGTGAGGAAGGAGGAGGAGAGGAGTGAGGAGGTGAGGGAGGAGAGGAGGAGAGGAGGTGAAGAGGAGAGGAGTGAGGAGGTGAGGAAGGAGGAGGAGAGGAGTGAGGAGGTGAGGGAGGAGGAGGTGAGGAAGGAGGAGGAGGAGAGGAGGGAGGACAAGAGGAGTGAGGAGGAGAGGGAGGAGAGGAGTGAGGAGGTGAGGGAGGAGAGGAGTGAGGAGGTGAGGGAGGAGAGGAAGAGAGGAGGTGAAGAGGGGAGGAGTGAGGAGGTGAGGAAGGAGGAGGAGAGGAGGGGG